AAAACTACTTGCGCCAATCGAAAAAGAAAGAAATTTTACGCAAATAATGTGTAAGAAAATTTTTTGTACGATCAAATCCCTTGGAGATGTGAATTTATTAATTAAGGTCTAATATATGGCTGCGTAGTACGTGCGTATGAGCCAAAAATGTGAGGCGGGCTCTGTACAAAAATGGCTATAATTTTTGATTGGTAAAAACAAAAGCAAAAAAACAAAGTGCTTATTGAAGAAAAATGGTTCACCTACTCGATCCATGTATTTATCATTTAATTTATCATTTAATTTTGCAATAATTGTTTATAATTGCAACAATAAAAAAGCAGCGGCATTTTTTAATGGGTAGACTTTTATACGTACAGCAGTTATAACAATTTTAAAAAAGTTTGAAGACGATACGACCTGTTACACGGAATTCCGAAGTTAAACCCGATTTTTGTCTCATTTTACTTCACTATTCTTGCTGTTTTACAAGGAAAGGAGGAGATAAATAGCGTACGTTGCGACGCGATTTACAATTTCAAAATGGAGCACGAGGTGGGAATAATGATGGAGGTATAATAAAGGGACAGCGCGATTTGTTAAAGAATAACTGATATTATTCTAGGTAAGCACCGACAGCCGTATTTTCCAAGTGCTAAAAGAGTGACGGTTAAACGAGCTATTATAGAACCACCGTGTGTAATAAGCCATGTTTCAAGCCGAAACCGCGCTCTTCTCCCTTTTCGCCCGTCCTTTGCATAAAGTTCACTGGCGAGTACTTTATTTGCAACGCGTAATATCCTTCAGTCCTCCGCTCACGAGCGCTCGTTCGTGATGAAAACCGCATGGTTGCGGATACATTTCGCTATTTAACCGTGTAGTCTGATTATTCAGAAGCGGCGTCTTAAGCGCGTCTCTTCCACGCGAAACAGCGGCGGAAGTGAAAAAGTCTGACAACTAATCAAATATTATCCTAGAACTTACAGTTGTTAGAACAATACTGATGAATATTGCTTAACAGATGTATTCAATATAATATCAATATAACTTAAATTCGCATACATTTCTTTTCCAAACAATAGAGAATATTGTTGTAACAGTAATTTTTTTCGTGAAATATGTGACTCACTTTTAACCCTTTCAAGCACGATGGCATTGTGGAATGCCACCTTTTCCATAACCATTTTCTAAATAATTGGGATAGTTTTCATTCAATTTTCGAACTTTTTTTTGTGTTTTGGTGTCAGATATACATTTAAGAATAAGAATCGATGCGCAATAATTCGAAATCATGGGTGACTTTGTTTATACAAATAAACAAACATTGAAAAATAGCAATTTTTCTGGAAAAAATTCATTATCTCCGAAAGTTCTCAGAATTTCCAAGCAAAGATCTTCTCTCAAGAATTTTTGGGGTCGCTGATTACGAATCCGTGGCCAGATTTCTAAAATTCAAAATGGCGGATCCAATATGGCGGACCCAAATTAAAAAAACAATGCAAGTTTTATGAAAATGTATATCTGGGGGTTCTCGGAGTCGCTGATTACGAATCCATGGCCAGATTTCTAAAATTCAAAATGGCGGATCCAATATGGCAGATCCAAATATACGTTTTCATAAAATTTGCATCGTTTTTCGAATTCGGATCCACCATGTTGATCCGCCATTTTGAATTTCTAAATTTTGACCTCAGATTCGTAATCAGCAACCTTGAAAACACTCGAGTACCAATTTTCAAGTCAATCGTAGAAGGAAAAATGTATGCTTGAAAGGGTTAAGATTGATAAAAAAATCAGGAATTGTGTTAAGTATTAAAAAAGTCACATGCTGATTTTGATTGATATTTTAGTTAAATATTTTTATCCTGGATTCATCATATTAAAAGTCTGATTGTGACGGGAATTGAATAAAGAGTACCTATACCATCCCGTTATATAATACACAACAATCAAATATAATACATAACGCCAAAGCATTTAATTGACAAATCTACTTGCCTTATTTCCGAACTGTTAGGAAAAAGCGTACCTCTGAATAGGGTTGTTATGTTTGAAACATTTATATTTAAAACAAATATTTAAAACATGTTTTAAACATTATATTATTTTAAACAAACATGTGTTTCGAACATATTTTAAACGTGTCTAAAACAAATGTTTAAAACATGTTTTTTTTTTAGGAAAAGATTTAACATAGATTTTAAAAAGATATATTCAATATTGATTATATAACGTCTAGTTCTGTATAGTCGATTCGATTTTTACATTTGAGATCATTAATTAATACTACAAATGCTTT